CGACCCCCTGGCCCACCAGCACCTCTCCTACCAGTGTTTGGGCAAAGGAGCAAAGATCAGCATCGCTAGATCCCATTCAGATCTCTACCCATGCTTTGCCCCGCCCTGCAATGCCTCATTTGTATTCACGGGAGGCCGGGAGAGAGACCTAATAACCTTTGGAAGGAGTACTGGGGCTCTCCTGGTCTTTTAATCTCTGTCTGCCTAACTCCCTAAACTCGTGCTCTTTATCTCTGTGTCCCATCAATGGTGTGCATCAGTCTTTCCAGCTCACTCTGCTTGTTTCTCCTTGTTTCGCTTCTTCGTGTATCCCATTTCACCCCCAAATCTCCCTCTCTGCCTCTGTTTCCCTGCAGCCACAGGTCAGGGGTCCCTTTCTGCACTCTGGTCCCTTTCACTGCTGCTCTGGTTCCTTGTTGGCGGAGCCTTTCCAGAGAGTCCAGACCTCCTCTGATCCACCAGACCCTGAACAGCCCTACCTGCTGCCTCTGCCCTGCACAAGGATGTCAGCCACATGTCTGCTTTAAGTGTGGCCAAGATCTATGGAAACTTCATCTGCAGGAAACTCTGGGACCTTCTCTGGCAGCTGCCAGGCCTGCTGGTGGAGAAATAGGAGAATTTTGGGACTGAACCCTACTCAGGACTCTGGAAGTGAGATGTCGAAGAAAGGTGGGCAGACTCCAGGAGAGGCAACAACTCTCTGGGAGGTATAAGATTAAACTAGTTTGGGGGTGGGGTCATTGAGGAGAAAAGCAGTTGGCCATAGTACTTGCTGGTGTTACTCAAATGCCTCACATGTGCACCTGGAAAGCTCGTATTCACTCTTCCAAGAAGCCTTCTCTGACCTCCCGCACCCTGCTAGGTTAGGGCCCTGCCGTTGTGCTCCCACAGGTCCCGGGGGCTTCTCTACACCACATGTCCATGTTTGTCGCCCATGCCGGACGGTGAGCTTCCTAAGGGCAAGAACTTGGCCTGATGCACAGAGGAGGTACCAGGAAATGTGTGAAAGTCAAAAAAGAACAAATGCCTTGCAAACAGCTGGTCCCCACATTGCTCCTACCTTGGACACTTTAAGCTCTCTGAATGTCAGTGTGTGGGAATGGGGTGGACTGCAGTTAACCCCAGAGGGGAGAGAGCAGGAGAGATGGCAGAGAGCTTTAAGCTTTATGTCCTCTGCCAGAGTCTTGGTCGAATTCCAGGCATTTTTCTTGTCATCAAAGATGTAATTTCTGTTCTGACCCATAAGTCCTAAGGTTTCCGTTTCTAGAGAGACAAACCTGGATCCCCGTCTCCCATTACCATGGGCCCCAAGGGTAAGAGAGGACATCAAGGAGGTACCAGGCACACACTTAATGATGAATTGAGGCTTTGGGGCCAAATCCCTGTGTGGTCTCCTGCTCTGAAAATTAAACCATGAATCTAAATTTCCAGTTCCCTTCTCTGAGCACCTAGGCAGGGACAGGCAAGACCAAGTCCCTATGATAGCAGCCGTTAAGAAAGAACGAGAAGGCAGAAAATATGTCAGTTCTGTTTCTTATATAAGGAAAACAACTCTCTTTTAATCAAAAAAGTAAACCCTCTAAAGCAGACACCTGTGGGGGTTGCTAACCTCTCCCAGAGGACGTATTTACATGTATGGGGAGGGGGGCCACCGGGTGGTCGAGTGAGCTGACACACTTGACTTAAGTGAAAGCTCTTAACACTCAGCACTGAAGTGCAATTTTGTCCCTCCGGGACTGCACTTAGAGTTCCTTCTCTATAGGAATTAGGGAAGTGGCGAGCTCCGGATTTCCCTTAGATGTCAGGGCAGGGGTCCCCAACCTCCAGGCCGATGACCAGTACTGGTCTGTGGTCTCTTAGGAACCAGGTCACACAACAGGAGGTGAGTAGTAAGCGAGCAAAGCTTCATCTGTATTTGCAGCCGCTCCCCAGCCTAGCATCACCGCTTCAGCTCCGACTCAGATCATCAGGCATTAGATTCTCATGGGAGCACTGGTCCCTGGTGCCAAAAAGGTTGGGGACTTCTGTGTTAGGGTATATAGCCAACAAATGCTCCTCGTGGTTTGTGAAGTCAGCAGTACTGACCCTGAGAGGGAATGTCCCAGGCTCTTAGGCACAGTGGGAAGAGACTGAGTGGTCTGAGGGCCAAGAAAACCACCTGTCCTTTGCATCTCTGTCTGGAGGTGCTGTGGCTTCAGCAGACTCCTGGGACTCACAGGGCCTGTACCAGCACCAGGAGGCTCATGACCAGGGCCATGGAGAAAAAAATGCCCAGGAAGAAGCGGTCCATCACACGGGCCAGGCGCTTCCAGTCCTCATGGCGGCGCTGGGCAGCTCGGTGGCTGCGGAAGGTGCTGGCAATGGTGGCTACATGACGCAATAGAGCTTCCTGATGGCACAGACACCGCGGCTCATGGCAAGGGCCTGCTGGCAGGCCTGCCCCTCCCTTAGGAGGCTGGGGACTGGGAGGTGACTTGGGTGGTCTAGACTGCCCACAGGGCTCCCCTCGTTCCCGTACACACAGGCCCCGTGCCAGGTGTCCGAGGAGGAAAGCCCGAGCCCAGGCTGGCACTGGGCGGGCAGTGGGACCACAGTAATGCAGGTTCATGACAAGGATAGTGAGTGCTGTGGAGAAGGTGACCATGGTCATGGTGGCCATGTAGTATTTCCCTGCAAGAGAAAGAATGAGGTGGGACCCACAACAAGAACTCAGGGGGCCTGAGCTTCCCAGCAGCCTCAGCACAAACAGGAATGAGCTCACCCACCATGAGACTCTCAGGATCCTCCACACCCAATGGATGAAAGTGGAAGGTCTCCCCTGCCCTCATTCCCACAAGTGGGTTCTCAGAAGCTATTTACTCCCTAATTGTTCCCTTCACTGCATTTACCCACAACCCATAAAAGTCACCCTCTCAAATAGTATGGCCATGACATGGGGCAACTAACTGACTGATCCTTTCAGTACAACCGGGATAACAACAGAACTTACCTTGCAGATCTGTGGGGATGCTTACCTGAGTTAATAAAGATCAAGGGCTTAGGAAAGTGCCTGGCACGCGGTGAGCACTCATTGTGTTTTGCCTGTTATTACAATCCTGAGGACATCGACCTTCCTCCCTCAAGTCCTTGAGAAAAGACCTACTCGCTTCTCAGCCCCCTCCGGTGAGGAGAGGGTGTCCTCCCTAGAAGGGGCCTACTCCTTTCCTCTCAATTTTAGAGTGAGGTATGCTCCCAGGACGCCCCCAACACACACACCCCGAAGGTGGGGGGCACTCTGCTGATCCAAGCCCCGCCCCTGCAAAGATGGGGACCCGCATGCGTCAGCGAAAGTGGGGCAGTCTCAGGGAGGGGACAGGCTCTCCCCCAATCTTCCTGCGTCCCCACAGGCACTCCCACCCTGGAGCGTTCCTCGGCCACTCACGCCCACTCACCGATGAGTGGCACACTCTCTGCTGGTGGCATGCTCTCAGCCAGGAGCAGCTGGAAGACCGTGAGCGCCAGCAGCACGGTGACGCCGAGGGATACCTTCTCTCCCGAGTCGGCAGGCAGGTGGAAGGCAAGCGGCGCGAGCAGCGAGATGAGCACGCAGGGCAGCAGCAGGTTGCACACGTAGGCAGCAGCGCGGCGGCGCAGCAGCAGTGTGAAAGTCACGTCTGGGTAGGGCTCCGAGCAGCAGCCGTAGGTGAGCACGCGCCGCCGCGCTGGCATGCCCAACACGCGCCACTCCACGTTCTCCACGAAGTCGGCCAGGCTGGCCCCGTTGCCCCGCGGCTGCACGTCCAGCTGGTGCCCGCCGTGCGTCCACGAGCCAAAAGTCAGGCCGCAGCGCTGTGCATCGAACGGGAAGGCCGACACATCCACGTGGCACGAACTGCGCGTGATGGCCGGAGCGTCCCAGCGCACAGAGCCGTCGTGCCGCAGAACCACGTTGGTGATGGCCGAGGCCGGAGGCTGTGCGTCAGCCCTGCGGGAGGCGGGTGGGGACCCCTTGAAGTGGCTACTGCCTGCGGAGCAGCTCTGGAACCACCGCAGAGCCAGACGCATGGAGAAGCTCTGTGACTACAAGTAATCCCATGGCCAGATTGCCTCCTCATGGAGGGTAGACTGTGCCCTGCGGAGTGCCCTCTGCGCTTTTGGAGGCCAAAAGGGGAAGCACCTGAAGAAGGGCCTGGAAAGGATACAGATCTAGCCTAGGGCAGCTTAAAAAATTCCTCTGCAAAAGTTGGCACCTGGCCGCACCGTGACTTCTCTTGGGTATCATCTACAAAGCTTGTAAAGGAGCCCCCCGGAAAATACACAGAGCCGTGTGATGTCTGGGAAACCCGGAACTGGCTTAGGCTGCATAAAGGGATGCTCCAGAAGGCTAGGCCCAGAAGGAAATCCCTATGCGGGCCCTTGGAGAGCCCTGAGAGTCAGAGCCCACCTGGAAGGGCGGAGTGTGCCATGAAGAGGCACTTGCGCCCCAGAACCCTCTCTGTGAGAGATACAGAACTGGCCCTGGACTGAACAGTGGGTTCCTAGGAGACATTCAGCATGGGTTGTCTTGGGACAGCCTAAAGTAGGGGTACCATGGAGGACCTGTGAAGGAGCTGGCCCCGCATCAGGCCCTTGCCATGAGCCACAATTTCTGTGCCATCAGAAAGCCCTACTGCACCATGTAGCCACTACCGCTAATACTTTTCTGCCAGATTAGAAGGGTCCTGGGGGAAGGCTGGGGTAGCATAGCACCCTGGTCAGGTGGGGGATGAGAAATAAGTGCATTCTCAGAGCCAAGGGCAACTCTAGGGACAGTTAACGGTGGGGGGAGGGGCAAGCAGGCAGTACTTGTTATAGAGTACGATGTCTGGCCGCCACACGAGACTGCTGGGGATGCGGATGGCATCCAGGCCACCATAGTCATCAGGGTCCCACCGTAGGTAAGCATCTGCCCACTCCTGTCGGATCCACAGGTACAGGGTCAGCACTTGGTTGCGTTCATCCTAGTTGGGAGCAGGGAGTAGGCACAGATATGGACACATGTACCTGCATATCTTTCCCTGAGCGTGCACACTCACCTACAGAGTTCTGGGCAGCACACACAAACCCAACTTGCCCATACAGCCAGTTCCCACCCACGGCTTGTTGTGACTTTGGCTGTTTCTTCTCTGGGCTTCAGCATCCTCAGGGATTCAAGTGTGCAAAGTGTTGGGCACACCATGGACACCCAACAGTTAGTATTCAATAATAAGTAGCTGTTACTTTTAATATTAATGTTTACAGAAAAGAATTATTTGGAGAATAATCCCAGTCTCTCACCCCCAAATTCCTTGACACTGTTCCCAGCACACTCCACAGTTATACAACAATCATAACGCACCATGTCGATGATCTGGGACAAGGTCACCTCCAGGGTTACATTCAGAGCCTGGTCTGTGTCCGCCACAGGTCTCAGGGCACTTGTGTAGTTGGCAAAAAGGTCACGAAACAGCTTGTAGGCCAGCCTGCCCTCAGCTCCCAAGCACTCTGGGGAATCAGTAAGTAGGGCTGTCCATCTGACGCCCTAGTCCAGGAACCTCTGCTCACACCCCCCACCCCCTCAAAGTAGGAGCTGTCACCTGCTCCACTATCTCACAGCCATCTGACTGGTTCTCTTGCTGTCTACCCTCTGTCCCTCTAGCTGCAAGTCTAGTTTCTCCTTGGCCTGCCTCCAGAGATGAATGAGGTAAAGGTGGTAGAGTGACTTGGTACTATCTTCAGAAACAAGGCTGACGGGTTTCTTCCTTTCCCTTCCCCTTCCCTTCCCAAGGACCTGGATTCTGCCTGCCCTGCCACAAATGCTAGAGGGACCCAAATAGGCCACAAGAGTCCCAACTCTCACCCAGGCACTTGAACCCTATTGCTTCAAAGCTTCTGACACTATGAGCCAGTCCCTTCTTTTGAAAACCTACTCTTCCCTAGGCTTTTGTGATAAATCACACTCTCCTCAGTCTCTCACTTAAGTGTTACTCCCCAGAATCCATTTTTCTTCTGAGCTCCACTCCTGAATGTCCTATAGGCACCTTAAACTCTGTAGTTGCAAAACAGGAATTCATTTCTTCTCCCCATTATCTGAAACCTGCTCCTTATTTGGTGTTCCCCATCTCAGCAAACGGCAGCCCTCAGTTAGCTGGAAATCTGGGAAATCTGGGAATTATTGCTCCCTTCTCCTCTCCCTCCCCCGCCCGCCCCCCCCTGCAAACCAGTGCCCAAATCCTGTCAATCATAACGCTGAACATCTTGAATGTTTAATCGCCTCTCCAGCTCACGCCTCTTCCTCCTTCACAGGGACTATGGCAGTAGCAGCCTTCTCACGGCTCCCCTTGCCTAAGGCTCAGCCTCTAAACACTTCTGAGAGATCACGCTTTTAAATATGCAAATTTGACCAAGCCAGTAATTGCTTAAAACCATTCAATGGCTCCTCATTGCCCACTGGATAAAGCCCCAACTCAGTCTGGCATTCAAGTCCCCTCTGGTCTGGCCCTCTGGCTTTTCCAACCCTATTTCTGGGAGCTGCCCTCTCACCGCTTCTACCCTAGCCAGGCAAATCTGCTTTCACTCTCTTCTGCATCACCCTCGCCAGGCCCCCACTTAACTCGTTCCCAGCACAGGTACTGAAGAGAGAAATGAAGAGCATGTGGAGAGAGATTGGGGGAGGATGGGAATAGCAGCAATACCCAGAGAGGCTGGCTTATTAAGCGTCATACCTGGAAGGTGTGGGAGCAGGAGCAGAAGGCCGGAGACAGAGAAGCCAAGGCTGAGGTGGTGCTTGCCTGGCCCCATGGCCTTGCTACCGCAAGAGGCAGGGCAGAACTCTGGATGTGAGCCTCCCGGCCCAACCTGGGCCAGTATCAGGCCCTGCTGTCAAGGATGGTGTGGACAATACCTGGAAGTTAGCAGTAAGACAGATCTCTGCTGGGTTTAGCTACGCTCTAGGGAGCCCTGTGGGCTTTCTGGTGATCTGACTCTCCTTTTTTGTACCTGGCCTCGGATTTTAGTACTCGGTCCTTTGCATCTGCTGTTTCTCCTTCTTTGCTGGTCCTTGCCTCTCTGGCCTCTGCCTCTGTCCTTTTCTCTGCTACTGCCACCGCATTTACTCCTCACTCGGCCTCTCTGTTTCCTTCTGTTTTTCCCTCTGTAACTCTTTCTTAGTCTCTCTTGGCTTCCCTGTCTCGATCTTCCTCTTTCTGCTCTCCAGTTCTCCTCCTGTCTCAGCCCCTCTGAGTTCCTGGCTCCATTCCCCATACCTGA